CATCATATTATGCTGTCAGTCCTAGGCCGATAAACAAAGAATCTTCACAGCCCTGAAAGGGAAAATGGCACTGCAATTTGAATCATTCTCGCTTACCTTCTTCCAGGATCACTGCAGAGCCACAGCCACTGGAGAAAATCAATGCACCTGATCACCAGAGCCCTTCAAAGTGCAGGACTAGCATACCGATGGGCCTACCCCAGAACCATCACAGTGAACAAGAACGGGAAACACTACAAAGCATCTAGCCCATCAGACTGTACAACCTTTCTACAAGCACTGGACCTCCCAGCAGCGCAAGACGAGTCACCACCAGCTACCTGAGACATAAACAACATCACCCCATTCGTACCCGGGGCCAGACGGGACACTGACACTTGACTACCCACATATACCCCTATTTTTTTTTTCTTTCACGTTTTCTGTTTTCTTCATGTTGGGGCCATTTTAGCCCGAGCAAAAAAGGTTTCTAATGTCCTTATTGTTTCACGTTGAACCTGGATCTTAAGTATTGTATTCTTTTTTTTTTTCATGCACCAATGGTTATAGATAGACACATATAGGCTCCCCCTTTTGTGCCAGATCAGGCCAAACTCCGCAGAGCACATGTACCCATACTTACCAAGAGTTCCGAAACACTCACACTACATTGCTCATACATCCGCTCACTGAGCTGCTACTCTTTGGTACAACTCCGCCTCACACCCTCCCCCCACCTGTTGTCCCATAGGTTAGGGGACCCACAGAAAGGTCAAGACATATATTACGGTACCTGGCCGCTGTGAATCACATAACATCCTGACCTGATGATAACCCACGAATAGTTAACAGATATAAGATAGAATGACCACCATAGACGTGCTTTCAACCCATCTGCATACGATGTATCACCTAGGCCTGCCATGCCCTCTTTCTTACAATTACCACCATATAAATCACAAACCTCAGTGGTTAACCACAATACATTGGTTTAAGAGTAACTGTACTCCCAGCACTAGACCAACTCGCTAAGTTGCGCACAGAGGCCACAGTAGCCTGATAACCCTTGAGACAATACATTGCAGCAGACTCCTCACGCCTAGAGAACACACGTTTACCAGACTAGCTCAACTTTATTATTGTAAAATTGTGCAGTCGCTTTGAAGACAATGTCCATGTTTTATTATGTTTATTCTACGATGTTAATGTCGTGGTATTGATAACGTGAAAATATTGTCATGCACGACAAAATAAAGAATTAAAAAAAAAGAAGCTTATTCAGAAACATCAATAAGTTTAGAATCATGGTATTAATCTGTATATACTGTAATAGTAAGTCCGAACCAACTCACCATAGCAAAAATTCGCAAAATAAAATAAATCATATAACCACAATATGATAAACAATAAACTACACTATTTATCACATTAAAAATACAATAAATATTTTGTGTATTCCTGTTAATTTTATAATCAAAACATACATGATTGAAGAAAAATATATATTTTATTATTTGGTAATTACAAAAATGGCATGTTTTGAAATTGCTTTTTTTATGCCTCTACCCATTCTATCCATCCAATGATGTTTGCTACTAGGTCTAGCTATCCATGTTCCAAGGCAATAACATTTTATAATAATTGTTTTTCCTTTTGCAATTTTTAATTAATGAAAAATTAGGCGCAAAAGTCATTTTAATTTTAAAAAAGGGGATAAAAAAATAATAAACTAAAAACTTAATAGGCAATGGTTAACCCACTCCTGCCTTTCACTCTGAGAAGAGCAAAGCTATCCCACATATCCAGTGTGTAGCATGATGATGGTCCAACAGTGTGGGGAAAAAACACTGCCCCATCAACTTCTATCAACTGTGTATTCAGATGTAGCAGGCATAGTCACACTGGAAGATTCAGGCAGGCAGGGTGAAACCACTAAAAGATAAATTTAAAAGGGGGAGCAGTAGAAGTAATTTAATTTGCTTATTTTTAATTCTCCACCAGATTTTACAATATTTTTACAAATTTAGAAACAGTTTTGAAGGGAGAGGTGAGTGGCCATTTGGATCACAGTTGATGATGATGCCTCAAGTATTAAACTGAAGAGGGGGGTAAGACTAGAAGAAGGCTATATGCTTCGTCTATTTATGTAGTTCTCCATCCATTTATGTATATGCTCCAGCCTAGTGGGGAGTAAATGCCAATGTACTGGTTGAAGATGGACTATGGATATCCCTCTGCTGTTCCAAAAAACTTTCCAGCATGTATCAAGTGGAGATCCACTATGTGCAGACATCCTGTCATAGATTATGTGGGAAGCCCTGTTTTCTATTGCTCCTGATTCAAGAGGTGGCCAGCCTTCACACTATGGTGGGAATTCCTAGCAATCCCACATTAATGATTAGGTATGGTTTGCAACTTTTTTCTGAAATCCAACAGAATATTTAAGAGTGGGCTGGTTGATGCACATCTAGTAATTTTCCACCTGGTTTCTTTACAACAAAATTTACCAGCAAGTGTCTCTTTATTTAAGAGAGGGATACAGATATGGTGACTAGGATAGAACTTATCACTGAGTATGTAATTCCAATTTGTACCAAGGTTCAAACTTAACTTTTAATATTAATTAAATAAAAAAAGAAAACGTACATACTAAAAACATAAGAAGAAAGGTGTTCAGTCCTTTTATTGTATCTAATAATAGAAACTAATATAGCAGGGTAACAGGTAGTCTATTAATGTTTCCAGCAAGCAAATGGATATGCCATTATTTATACACTGTAACAACTTAGACAGAGCCAAGCCTGAGGCAAAGAGAAAAAGGAGGAACAGATTAGCTAACTCCTATATCAGTAATAATCTAATGTTCCTTCATGGGCACCCCTTAATTAAAGCCTGCTCTAATAATGAAGCCACCCGCTATTACTTAAAGTGAAAAAATTGAGGTAACAGAATGGTAAGTAAGGACTTGAACATGCCAGTCACAGGATGCCTATACACGGAGTGAGAGTTCCGTTATAATGAGATGAGTGACGGTATGTATTAGCACCTAGGATATGCCGAGTTGGCGTCCTGAGCCCCTGACGCGCGCGTTTTGCCAGAGTTGCTCATCAGAGGGGAACCAGAGACAGGTAAGTATCAGTATTTGAATCCTAATCTCGTAGATGATTGGCCATGTTTACTGTCCTAATGGCCAATAATGGGACCAGTAATAGTATCTGGAGGGTTAAATTACTAGCGTTTATATGGTCGTCCCTTCACATTAATGACAGATCACAAACTCCTCATCTGGCTAAACAGAGTCGCCGGGGATAAACCCTGTTTACTGTTCTTGAGTTTGACCCTGCAACCCTACAATTTTACTATGCAGTACAGGCTAGGCAAACTAAATGGCAATGCTGATGGATTATCTAAGCAGACGGAATTGGAACCGTAATTTATTCCCCTGGACATCCACAAGCCAAAACGTCTGGGTCTAGGTGGGTATGTTGCACCATAGAACTGGGGGGGAGCAATGTGACAAAACTAAGTACTTTATTTTCTAAGTCAGGCACTCAACCTCACGAACACCAGCAAATTTACATGAATGCCTGCTTCTTATCATGACAAGCCAGGAGAGCGCTGTTCAGTAGCATTGTTCACACGAACAAGGCGAACAATCACTATCTATGAGCCCGGGGAACTATTCATCTTTTTGTTCATTTTGGAACTCCCAAAATTGACCGACCACTACCACTGATTATGTGGAACTAATTTTAGCCCGGTGGCGATTCGGCTGTGTTCGTGGGATCTGAGAGCTATTTGGACAACTTGGGTGCTCAGATCCAGGCTATCCGGGGATATAATACTTGTGGGTTTTCCTCTATGTATTATGTGTATTTTTAATATTTGATGTTTTATGATTTGAAACTCTATTGCCTGGGAGAAAATTAGTTTAAGCAAAGTACAGTAAATTATCTCCGGACACAGAGACTCCGGGGTGTTTTTTGGGAG